ACCAAGTTAGCTGCCATCGAGGAAGAGAGATACGGATAGATAGGAAGGATGAAAAGGGAAGAAGAAAGGAAAGGGAGGAGAGTCAAAATGGACTTCTCCTTTTCTCTCTCCCATCTTAACGCTGGTTGCTCCGAGATGTCGGTTTGTGAATGCTAAGTTTACGCTATCTCGAGCCATCCTCTCGGCTTTCGCAACTACTGTGACGCCATACCGCTAACACTCTTTCCAAATTCCCTGGCGAGCAACTCCCAAAACGCTGAAACAAGCATACCAATGAGACAAAGGAGAGAAGGGGGGAACGTCGAAAGAGAGGACGAATAAAGAGAACATCTTGCGTTGTTACAACAAACGGATGGATATCTTTCCATCCGTTCCAGAAATCAAAGTTTCAGATCGATCGAAACGGATCTTCTTCTTCTTCTATCAGGATTTGTCGTAGCAGGATAGTAGCGGTTCGTTTATAATTCATCGATAGTTTGTTTTCGTGGAAAGATTTTCCATATCGCGATGAAAAAAAAAAAACACAAATTGTTCGAAACGGAACGCAATTTATCGTAAAATGATGAAAGCGAAAGCGGAATTTCTTTTTTCTCGGGAAAGTTCTCGGATCTTTATATCCGGGTAAACGAAGTTATCGCGCGATCTCACAGTGATCAGAGAGAATCGGGCCGAACGTGTTGGAGTACGAGTCTTTGGCCACGGTTTCGTGGTAAGGGAGACGCTCGAAAGAGTAGAAGGAGTAGCACCCCTTACCACTTTGCCAGTGGCACGGGGGATTTTATTTATTCCGGGTTGGTACGCTTGTTCCGGCCTCCTCCACTGAATCCCTCTTTTCAACCCTCCTCCACCTCCTCTTCCTACTTTTCCGCCTCATACCACCTTACCCGACAATTCTCCAGCAGGGTGGTTGCCAACGTGGCCGACTCTGTTTAACGACTTTCTTCTACATTGAACGCAATAAATACCCGTGTCCCATTCAAGAATCTCTATTTACACGGATACCGCTGTTCTTTAACGCTATGTCCTTTCTCCAATATTCGAATCTTATTTCTATTTAGCGCAGATACGTAGACGCAGATGTAAATTTCCAAAACACGTTCTACAACGGTAACGATGCCAAAGGGAACAGATTTGAGTAGTCGTTAAATCTCGAAACGCGATATTTGAAAATCGTGGGCCAAGTTCGAATCTCTTAAACCTTTTAAGATTTAGTGGCGTAAGCGCTCGAGGTGGAAACTGTTTGAGCATCACTGGGGGCAATATACCATGATGTCAGCCACTCTGCCGTGGCTCCGCTCTGCCAGGGTTGGTACCGGGGGTGGCTTGGCTTCGCCAGGGTACAAAATGATATCATTGGGTTATAAATTCCAAGCAGAGACACCGGCGGCCCGATCGCCTCCCTTCCTTCTTGTTACAACCCTTCTCTGCCCACCACTCTCAGCCTCCTCCTCCTCCTCCTCCTCCTCCTCTTTTCTCTTTCTCCATCTCTTTCTTTTACTGTTTTTTACTTTCTCTTCCCAATAGAAATATATCTATCAAGCGGCTTCCACCAAATAAACAGAATATTCGGATAATTTTCCGTATCCCATCTCGTAACCAACTGTCTCGATTTGCCTCGCACAGGATCGAAGGATTATTCGCGTAATTTTTCAAACCCCTCTCTTTTGAGTTGTTATTCGTATTATCGTTTTCGTGATTTCGCGTATAAAACCGACGCGTGACAGGACGTCGCTTATACGTATTTATCGAGGGCCTCTTTTTACCGTATATGTTTAACAATCGTAATTAAGAAATTGTATGTACATATACACGTCGGTACATTTCGTAAAATTTATTTTAGCGCAAATTAGGTCATACATAATTAGAATGTTAATGTAGCTTAAAATAATTTTATAACGCAACAGGGCAGACGTGCAAATGTAAATGGCTAATCATACTATAATGTTAAGATATTAACACTGTGTGCAATTTTAATTTATGTCTCTGGTAGGTTTAATTCAAACCACCATTTCACTGGAATAATTTGAAAATCTTGCAAATCTTGCAAAGACACGTTAACAATGCTATTTGTATCGATAAAATAAGCGATAATATTTTGTATTTGCGCAATTAGGTCTTTATACACCAGTACCTCTTCAAACACCGTGTATAAAAGCGATATCGCCGAACGAAGGGTGGACATCTGGTGGATCGACAGTGATAATCATTGGGGAGAATTTTTTCGATGGGCTTCAAGTTGTTTTTGGATCGATGTTGGTTTGGAGCGAGGTGTGTAATTTCGTATTTCTTAAAAATCGAAATTTAACAAATTTCTAAGCTGCGATTTAATTTAATTCGCTTCTTTCTTTCTTTTTTTTTTTTTTTTCTCTAGCTAATTACACCAAATGCGATCAGAGTACAAACTCCTCCTCGACAGATACCAGGCGTCGTTGAAGTCACGTTATCCTATAAAACTAAACAATTCTGTAAAGGTGCACCTGGTAGATTCGTCTACGTTTGTAAGTATAACGGAAAGCTACAATCTTTTTCTTTCCATTCTCACGATGACGTATTATATAAGAAAAAGAAGGAAAAAAAAAAAAAAGAAACGATGACATTCAACAAAATTTTTCAGCATTGAACGAACCCACGATCGATTACGGCTTCCAAAGGTTACAGAAGCTTATTCCCCGGCATCCTGGAGATCCTGAAAAATTACCAAAAGAGATCATATTGAAAAGGGCGGCTGACCTCGCGGAAGCTTTATACAGTATGCCCAGAAGCGGAAACGCTGGAATTACGGGAGCACCGAGAAGTCCGGGATCGGGTCATCCGCCTGCACCTCCAACCTCTAGTTCGGCAACAGCGTTTAACTCGTATACAGGACAGCTCGCGGTGACGGTACAGGAAAATGGTAGCGCGGCGAAATGGACAGACGGCAAGTATTGAAACGATATTCAGTATAGTAGACTGACACGATAACACGATGGTTGTATATTAGACAATTAGAATCGACGTTGTCCTATAGATACTCTGTATTAAAACCCGATAAAACATTTTTCAATAAATGTACAATATAGTGGTTTACCATTTGTACTATTGCGTGTGCAAAATAATAATACCGATTTAATATTAATTTCTTCGAAAAGTATAAAATTCGCGAGAACGAATCTAAATTCCACGATTGATCCAGCGTTAGGTAGCCACGTCGATTTTCTCCTCGTTCCGGTGCCAGTAGGCAAAACGCAATGAACAGAATGATGAAATACTGACGAGTTCGTCTGACGGGCAGGTTTCTATTTCTAGACGGTAGTTCCGTGACGACAGGAGCCGGTGCTGGAGGCGGAGGCGGCGGCGGTGGTAGCGTCGGAGGGAGCGTGGGTGGTAGCGCCGATGCCTACAGGCAAAGCAGCAGCGCGAGTCCACGCGGGGTTGTGACCGGCGGTGGTTATTGCGGAAGTTCGGCCAGCACGCCTCACAGTCACAGCACAAACGGAAGTTACTCGGTAGCCAATCCGTACACCGGTAGTCCAACCCTTTACACATCGCGTAAGTATACCTTTTTATTTTTTGTTCTTTTACAGAAATCGACCATGTCTCTGCACTTTCCAATTCTATCTTCTTCCCGAATCCTTATCGATTCTTCTTCTACGCTTCGAAAAGTATCGTCGTCAAATTTTATTATATACAAAAAAGAAAAAAAAAGAAAATAATCGTTTACTTTTTAACGATTTCCACGCTTCTTCTACTTTTTCTTTTTCTTTTTCTTTTTTTTTTTTTTTTTTTCTCGAAAAAAACGAGACGAGAACGTAGACGTTTGTCGGCTTTATATTTTATAGGGAAACGCATGTTGCGCGAAATCACAGAGGACGCATCCGCTTGTTACAGTTTAACGGTACAGTTAATCGTTTATGCATGTATTTATGATTTTCCCTTATGTGAAATTTTCGTTTTAGCGCACGAACAGTATGGCATTTTCTATACGTCCGGGGACGGGAGTGCGTTCGCTCCCGTAGTACGACCACCGACCACCTCAGTCCCACCGCACTGGTCCACACAGCACCACCTCGCCACAGCCGCCCAGTAACCGCTAACCGTCCACCATCACAACCACCATCATCACCACCACAACCACCCTATGCACCACGATTAAAGAATTATGAGAAACATGCACGAGAGACGAGAGATTCGAGGATGTATGTACGCACACGTTCATTTATCGATCAATTGATAAATCCCTCCCTCCTTTCGTTTATTCGTTAATTCGATATCGCTTCTCGATTAACCTCGCCTCCCAACGCCGATCGCCACCGATTCGCCATTTGGCGAATAAGATTGCGGCCGTTGAAGCCCTCGTCGCTTTGTCGACACGTGTCCACACGAATCACCAATTTCCAATTTACGATTATCCTCTTCTTCGTCTTGGGTAATCACTCTTCTATCCAAAATTTCTCCCCGATCGTTAAAGTTCTTTTTTCTTATACATACATGAGCATGAAACCAATTTTCTATATATATATATTCGCATTATTATTATTATTAAATATATATATATATATTCGTAATTTGTAGCGAATGGCACTAACGTATAACCGACAGTTGGTATGTTGCAGGACTAGGAGAGGTGGTCGGTTCACCGTTCAACGTGAATCCATTTATGTTGCCGACCTGCAGCCAAGGATATTCAAACGCCGCCAGTCCGTTGCTCTCGTCGAATGGGAAATAGTGTTACGAGATGTAAGCTCCGGCGAAAATATCGAGGGGTTACGTGTTCACGGAAGCGAAATCCATCGACGCGGAGGCTTTCGTCGAATTCTAATATTCCGATAATCATCGTCGTATTCGCGATTGACAATCGCTTTCTTGAATCGAAACCGGTCCTCTCGATTCGTTCCTTTTCCTTTTTCCCCTTCCCCCTCTCCCTCCTCCCGGTTCCCGCGTAACCGCGAAGAAGAAACGGCCGCGGAGAAACCGTCCGCGCAATGATTTTCGTCGGAGTTTCGACCGATCACTCTTCAGTTTGCGAGAGTAAACAGTGCAAAAAGAAGAAGAAGAAAAAAAAAGAATAATAATAATAATAATAATAAAAAAAGATCGATAACGTTTTATCATTATCACGATGATCGAATAAGTTAAGGAATGATACATATCGAAGCACGTAGGAGAGTTTTTTCTTCATCCATTTATACATACAGTCGTTCGGTTCGTGTACGTTCGTTCATAGATGTACAAGTTTTGGAAGAGAAAAGAAACGATCGGATCGCGAGAAGTTACATACGTGATATGTAATTTTAATAAATGAATCATTTCTCGCGATACATCTTTTAATCCTTTGAAATTGTTTTATTTTTAAAAAAAAATTCGTTCGAATATCGTTGAGAAAAAAAGAAAAAGAAGAAGAAGAAGAAAAAAAACAACCGAACGACTATTTTACTTTTCGTGCCCTCCGATATTGCTATTTTTAATCTAGCTATCTCGGTACGAAAAGAGTATCGTTTTTATCGATAGAATCGAGTACCTCGTTTGCCCTGCGTCTCCTCTCGTATACGAAAATCATTAAATGATTGTAACCTTGCGACAAAGTATTTTCAACAAAAAGTGTTTTTTCTTCGTGTTTCGTGGTACGGCGTTGTTCCGACGATGCGCCCGATTGTTGAACAGGCAAAATAGTATACGCAGGCGGGGACGTTGACAGGGTGCCGCGCAATTTTATATCAAAGCAAGCAAAGAGGCTATATAATAAAGGGGATCTAGGGCGAAATGACACCACTAGACGGACATATCGCTTATCAGTGAATAACAGACATCATAGTTTTAGAAAGCATTTTCAAAGTTTGAAATTTTATCTTCCTACCCGTACGTTTTAAGAGACTAACCAATATCGGCTAGGTAGCGTAAATAAACACTCGTCTAACTCGTAATTTGTAAATTTCCTTGTAAATATTGTTGCGATGTACAAAAAGATAAAAACTATTTCCAGGAATCCAACGAAACGATTATTAACGTGATTGTAGGGCGAAAATTAATTATACATAGATGTAAATAATCGTAGATCGTCATAGCTTGACTTGAGTATGATTACATTAAAGCTGGCGATCCAATCTTTTAACGTGCTAATCGACCACCAACGTGATAATATAACAATATATATATATATATATACATACCGCTGTTTTTTCATCGATATATTTCTACTAATAGGTCAAAACTTATTTCTTCCTACGTACGTACGTTTATAGCGATTCGTGTCCTTCAGAGAGAGAGAGAGAGAGAGAGAGAGAATGAGAGAGAGAGAGAGAGGAGGAGGAGAA